CCCCCCCGGCCCCGCCCCACCCAGGGACACGTCCTCCCAGGTGACACCGTCCCCCCTGCCAGGGACACGTGTCCCCTTGGAGGGCACGGCTCCCCTCAAGGGACACGAGGGCATCCCCTTGGTGGGGACGTGGGGACATGGGGACACTGCGAGGCCTGGGGAGGGGATGGGGGGGGCCTTTTTACCATCTACATTAGCTCCGCCTCCTTCCTGCAGCTCAGTTTCTGATTGGCTGCTGCCTGGCGAGGGCGTGGCCTCCTTAGCACCCTCCGCCTGGGCTGTGCACCCCGAAAAGAGAGGGGGGAGGGAGAGGGAAGGGCTGAACAGGCCCCGCCACCGGCACCCAGCACCAGCACCCCAATACCGGCACCCACCAGCATCCAGCACCAGCACCCAGCACCAGCACCCATCACCAGCACCCCAATACCGGCACCCACCAGCACCAAGCACCAGCACCCAGCACCAGTACCCACCAGCACCCTGTCACCAGCACCCTAATACTGTCACCCACCAACATCAGCACCCATGACCAATACCCACCAGCACCCCAATACCGGCACCCTCCAGCACCAGCATCCAGCACCAGCAGCCATCACCAGCACCCCAATACTGGCACCCACCAGCACCAGCACCACAATACTGGCACCCACCAGCATCCAGCACCCATCACCAGTACCCACCAGCACCCCAATACCAGCACGCACCAGCAGTACCCACCAGCACCCCAATACTGGCACCCACCAACGCCCAGCATCAGCACCCATCACCAGTACCCACCAGCACCCCAATACCGGCATCCACCAGCACCCCGTCACCAGCACCTCAATACCGGCATCCACCAGCACCCATCAGCATCCCACCACCGGCACCCATCAGCGCCCCCACACCCCTGGGGTGCACATAGGAGAGAGGCGGGGGGTTCACCCGCACCCCCCGGCCCCCCCGTGCAAGCCCCCAGCCCTGATCCAGCGAAGCTCACGCAGGCAAGCAGGGAGGGAGACCCCAAATCCCAGCGAGGGGCAGGTCACAGGGAGAGGAGAGGGGTCCCCGGCGCCTGTCCCCCGCCCTGCCCGGCCGAGGACCCTCGCTGCCGCCCCTCTACCTTTTCGGACAACTTTGTAGCTGCTTGGCTCCTCGGCAGCCGGACCCGTCTCATCCGTCTCCTCCCGGCTCGACCGAGGCTTCGTGTCCTCGGCGGCGCTCGGGGGCTCTGCCAGCACCTCCTGGGAGGCTGAATCCTGGCTGGAGAGCACCGAGTCCCAGGCCTGGCCGGCACCCCCGATGACCGACGGCGTGGGCGTCAGGTCGTCCTCGGGCTCCGCGTCCCGACAGGGCAGGAGCCTCCGTAGGATCAGGAGCCGCAGGTTCTCCACTGGGATGGAGCGTGGTGGTAGTGGTGGTGGGGGGGGAAGAGGCATTTTTGGGCTTCAGCTCCCCCAAGGAGAGGCTGGCATCACGGGGGGGCCTCCCCGCCGGAGCCCCCTGCGGCACTCACCATCCTCCAGCGCCGCTTCGGCCAGCCCCTCCGCGCCGATGGGCCCCGGGAGTGCCAGGCGCGTGGGGGGCCCCGGCCGCTCGGCCGGGAGGGTGTCGGCCGCCTCCACGCCGGCCCCTGCGGGCAGGGGGGCTGCAGGCAGCTGTTCCTCCCCTTCCTCCACGGGGGCTGCAGGCAGCTCTTCCTCCCCTTCCTCCACCTCGCTGCTCACCGCCTCCTCCAGCAGCGCCGGGGGCTTCTCCCTGCCCAGGAGCGCGGTGGGATTGTCGTCTGCTGCGGGGGAGAAGGGGAGAGCTCAGACCCACGCCCAGTCCCCGAAAGACGGGCAGGGTGCAGGCAGCGAGCGGCAGGCGGGGCCGGGGGAGCTCACCTGAGGAGCAATCCTCTGCCTCCGCCTCTGCTCCAGAGCTGGCGCCTCGGGACAGGATGGGGGAGACGTCGGGGTCCTGTAACACCAGGCTGCGAGGACGGAGAAGGTGTGTTAGACAAAAGGCAGGAGCCGGGGGCTCGGGGGGGGGGGCAGCGCCGACCCCAGGGCAGACGCTGCCAAAGCCCCCGCACGAGGTGCCAGGCGCCCCGGCAGCTGCCCCCAGGTCCCCAGTGAGCAGGGAGGAACCCTGTCCCCATCCCAACCGCCCTCCGGAGAGACCAGCAGCCCGCTGGCCTCGTCCCCCGGCGCCCACCAGCACAGGACTGGGCTAGGGCCCCGGCTCCCAGCAAGAGCCGGGCTGCTCACCCGGAGGGTGCTGTGCGGGTGGGCTCCAGCGTCCGGCGCTTGGGGGGGAAGGTGGCATTCCTCGTGGCGCTCTGCACCGCCTCCTCCAGCAGCTCCATCCACCTGCCCGGCCGACAGCCCCATGTCAGCTCCCCGGGGGGGGGGGGGGGGCTGGCCCCCCCCCCCCTTGGTCCATCCCGCAGGCACTGCCCATCGCTGCCAGGACCCGTCCCCGCCGAGCCTTACGTGTTTTTCTCGGAGGACGTCAGCGCCACCAGCTCGTAGATCTGGGGTCCCAACTCCGACGTGCAGATGATGAAGAGGGCTCGTTTATCTGCATGGGGTGACCAAGAGTGACGAGGAAGGTCAGAGCATGGCGAGGGCTTTAAACCCAACCCACTGGCACGGGTGTCACCAGCACGGCCGCAGTGGGACACGGCCGGAGGACAGGCGGTCCTCGCTGCCAGCCCCCGCGGCTTCTCCCTGGCCTTTCTCCTTACCTGTGGCCACGGAGCGGATGAGCACCGAGTTGAGCTTGAGGACGGGGCTGAAGGTCTGCTTGTTGTCCGAAGAGCCCAGCGCCGTCTTGCTGTGGCACTTGAGCACCAGTTTCTCGTCCTGCTTCTGCAGCAGCACCAAGAGATCCTCGAGGAGCAGCACGTGCAGGTCTGGGGTGGGAGAGGAGACAGAGAGCGGAGGCTCAGCCAGGGATGCGCTCGCAAGCCAGGTGGAAGCTCCCTCCTTGCAGCCAGGAGGGACGACGGCCCGGCGGATGCGGCAAAGGGGGTCCCTGTAATGCCGCTGGGGCTGGAGGTAAAATGCCCATGTCCCGGGGGACGCTGAGGATCCAGGGGGAGGTCTCCCAGCGCTCCCGGTACCGGGCAGCGGGGAAGGTCCGTACCCACAGTCTTGTCCTTGCTGATGCGCCAGGTGAGCGGCCCTTCGTGGATCATGCGCCGCGAGGTGAGGTCCAGGTTCTGCGGGAAGCCGAGGGCGGTGGCGAGTGTGGGCCGGGGCCAGGCAGCCCCCCGCCAGCCCCCCGGCCCCCCAGCCCCCCGCCGCTGCCCGGGAGCTGGAGCTACCTTGAACCTTGAACCCTCTGCGGGAAGCCGAGGGCGGTGACGAGTGTGGGCTGGGGCCAGGCAGCCCCCCGCCAGCCCCCCGCCGCTGCCCGGGAGCTGGAGCTACCTTGAACTCGGCAGCCAGCGGGTTGCTGGTCCTCTCCAGCGAGGTGGCATCCAGGCGTTTCTGGTAGCTTTCCAGCCGGTGCCGGTTCTCCGCTCGCTTCACCGCCTCGTTCACATACTTGAGGATGTCCCGGCACTGGTCCCGGGCTCGGCACAGCTTGTCGTGCTCCGAGGTGCCCGCTGGGATGGCAGAGAGGGGAGAGCGGGTCAGCGGGCAGCAGCACCCAGAGGAGATGGGGCTGTCCCTGTCTCGCTGTGACAGGCTCCCAGCCGCATCCCAGGCACAAAACGCCGCTGGCCCGGAGCTCCCCTGCCGACAAGAGGGAGATTTTCCCACCCCCAGGACCCCCCTGGCCCGGCTCTTTCTGCTGGAAAGGCAGCACGTCCTCCCCACCGCCCTGGGATTTTGCTCTGGATGGCAACAGAGAGGCACGAGCCCCACGGCAGAAAGCGATTGCCTCCTGCCAGCCAAAGGACGTGCTGGAGACGGGAGCACGCAGCCGAGCGACCCTGGGGACAAGCGCCCGGTGCCCC